ACACACACACACACACACACACACACACACACACACACATATATACATATACATATACGAGTTGATAATAAATTAATTAAAGCAACAAAACAACTGAAGAGCCAGTTAGGAGCCGAAAGAGCTGGCTGCTTTTAGTGAGCCGAGCCAAAACAGACAGTTTTCTAAAGAGAGCCGGAATTCCCATCACTAGTCTCCACCAGCCACTGACGAAAACATGCACCTTCTGAAGTACACAGAGATTTTTATAAAAGTACAACACTGAAAAATATTTATAACGCTGAGTGTTAAAGCTGAGAAGTTATTTTCTCAGCTACTGATAGCTGCATGCAAATCCACCCGAGCTGAATGTGATATCTATTTATAGATGCAAACACCCACAGTAACGATTTGAATATTTCTGTGCAGGCATCTGAACTGTGAACTGGATGTAACAGGTACGTTAACGATGCAGCGCTCAGCTCAGAGGGAGCACTTTGAAGTGCTCATGTGATGTGGAGTCTAATTAAAAGCAAAATCAAAATTTCCAAACAACAGATTTGATAACTGTACGATAGGGTACAAACACATGACAAACGCAACATCACCAACATAATCCAGTTATAACTGTACAAATTGCCCCCATGAAGCCACACACGGACTAACAACATCATATATTTAGCAGCTATGGCAACAGGAGCAACAGAGGAGGCCCAAACGTCCAGTGTGCGTGACATGAAATCTTAAAAACAAACGCTGCTCATGAGGTTTATTTTCTCTGTTTTCCTCCTCAGCTCATGTGTTCACATGAACCACACAATTTACCAAACTCCCAGCCAACCCTTAAATCTACTTCTATCTATCTATATAACCACATCAGAAAAAAAACAAAAAAAAAAAACAGTGTTTATGCGAGAGAGACGAGTCATCGCTGATATTTAAGTCAGTGTGCTGCTGGTGACACCTTAAAGGATCATTTCACTTAATTTCAGCCAGCTTCCTTTTAATACAGGGATGTCAAACTCCGTTTATGTAGTGGGTTTGTTTTATAATAAAAAATAACCAGAAAACATTTCAATAGTAGATGTGATCTATGATAATTTATCAGTTACTTTATTACTGTGATATGATCGGGTGTGGGAGTGATGTTGGGCATCAGTGGGAAAAGCTGTAAAATTTATGAAATACAGTTTAAAGTCCAAAATGTATGTCCTCCTTCACACTTTCCTGCTGGGGCGATTCCGGCCCCCAGGCTCCCTTGTTTTAAGGTGTCTGTCTACAGCAGGGGTGGGGAAACTCAAGGCCTCGAAGGCCAGTGTCCTGCCGGTTTTAGATGTGTCCTTGATCCAACACAGCTGATTTAGATGCTAAATTACCTCCTCAACATGTCTTTAAGTTCTCCAGAGGCCTGGTAATGAACTAATCATTTGATTCAGGTGTGTTGACCCAGGGTGAGATCCAAAACCAGCAGGACACGGGCCCTCGAGGCCTGGTCTACAGGGTGAAAATGAAAACCATTGAGTAGGTACCAAACCATGCAGTTCCTCAAATGTCCACTAGAGGCTCCCATGTTACAATTTCCAGCTTTACAGCAGAGATAAATATGTTTACAGCCCAACACACAAACTGGACTCTAAAGGTCATTTCTTTTCATATCTTTATAACTCCTTAATTTGTATTTTTTAAAGGCTTAAAGTATGTATTATTAGGGGCGTGGCCTCTTTGACTGACAGCTACAGCTGTTCTAGCTGCTAGCTGTCTGCTAGGCTTCACCTTAGCTAACTGGAGTCCCTGACCTGGACGCCTGGACCGTGTTTCCATTGTAGATGGAAGATGGGCAGAATGCAGGCAGTAATCACAACCCTACAGAGACACAACACCTATTTAAAATGAACCAAATCTCCTTTGCACTTTTAATAATCAATATTTTTGCCCACTTGGTTTTCATTAACTTATTCTTTACTTCCATTAAAAAAAATTTAACCAGTTCTAATTTTCAGTAATCTTTGTGTTCATCTCTTTTAGCTCCCTTTTGGGTCTCCACCACTTTCTGATAACTTACCTACTATACATAAACAAATCTCGTTCCCCAACATTTTCCTCAACTCTTTCACCCAGTTCTTCACCTGCAACGACAACAAAGCACTCAGGTCAAATAAACCCTTCATAAAACCAAGATACAAATAATGAAGTAATTATAATGCAGACAGGAACTGAAAGAGCAACATTATGATCATAATTAACATTCTGAGAAACAAAGGGTTTAACATCCAAAGACCCACAGACAGACTAAACTTTTTATTTGTAAGATGTTTCAATCTTAATGTTTACTCATCTTAAGACTGGAAATACTCTGACTGCACTTTTCAGTTCTGATTACCAAACTATAGCCGGGCAATTCAGAGTAGGTCCTAAAAGTTTAAATTAAATACCATTTCTTTAATGAACTTTTCAGCATTTGTCCATAACAAAACACTGATTGTTTTGGATCGACCTTTTTCAATCCAGAGGGTCAAGTGATCACCAGCAGCCATGTAAACTGTCTTTTACTTTTTGTAAATTATTTAAAAAGAAATTTTACTTCCTGGATGAACTGTAAAGCTTCTATATAGCTGCTCCAAGGTTGTGGATAAAAGGACACAAAACTGGTTATTTGTTTGTTACGAGTTTAGTTTCCACTGCTGTTTTGTCATTTCCATAATGACATGCTGTCGAAAGTCTGCTTTTACGATGTTGGATCATCAAACTTTCGTTTTCAAAAGTACCTTCTGAAAGGAGTCTTCATCTGTTATGTCGTACACTAGTATGGCTCCATTGGAGTCTCTGTAGTAGATGGGACCTAAGGCGTGGAAGCGCTCCTGACCCGCTGTGTCCTGCACAACCAGACAACGTTAACACCCAAAACCTTTATTCAGAAGATCAGGAGAATAAAAACTACTTTGAACGCAGCCTTACCCATATGGCGAGGTTTACTCTTTTTCCTGTGATGTTCAGCTTCTTTGTGAGGAAGGACGCCTGCGTAGGAAGAGGACAACATGATTATTTTAATAATGTCACAAACTCAATTTGAATAAGATTCAACTGAGCAAAGTAATATTGACAGGTAGCTCAACAACTAAAAAACACAAAATAAAAATTGGATAAAATGTTAAATAAGATACTAAACAAAATAAAGCAGCAGAAAAAAAGCTCAATGAATTTCCATTAAACTAAATAAAATAAAGCATCTCACCAATTAAAAATACTAAAATATCAAAAACACAAGACAAACAGTTTGTCATGTAAATGTAAATAAAAACAGAATGTAATGATTTGTAAATCCATGAATCTCGATTTACAATAAAAGAGAGAAACGTTTAAACTGAGAAAATGAAACATTTTAATAAAAAATATGAAATCATTTTGAATTTGATACCAGCAACATGTCTCAATAAAACTGGCATGTTGCCCACACTGCAGCATCCTCTCTTCTTTTAACTACAGTCCGTAAAACATCTGGGCTGCTGTTGTTGCTGCTTTGCCATATTTTTCAATTCGCGATGCTGATGCTGTTTTCAGCTGGTGTAAGGTCCTAATTGCAGGCAGGTCTGCTGAAATATGAAGGCCTTCCCTGCCTGGACGGGAGCAGATGCTCTGTTATCTGTGTGTACCTTTCAGCATTGATGCAGCTGAATGGTTCATTTTCTCATTTTAAAACTTTTATACGTGTCCTGTTTTCTGTTGTGAATAAAACATGGGTTCATGACATTTTCAAATCATTGCATTCTGGGTTTTTTTCCATTTCTAATTTACATTTTACACTCTCACACTTTTTTTTTGGACTGGAGATAGTAAAACATAAGCGCTAGAAAATAAAATAGAAACTAAACAGTAGAAAATATGCACAATAAACTGGTGGATGGTGAAAAAAAAATAAAGTCGGAGATTATTTTAGCAGATAAATCCCCAAACATATTCTGAAACCGCTTCAGCTCTGTGCACGTGCCCTTTGACCAGAAGTTAAACCAATAATTTACGAGCATCTCTGCTAAAATCAGCCTTCTGCAACAACTTTTGTAACTTCTCACATTTTACCACAAAAACATCTGCAAGTTTTATGTTAACCTGTCAACTGATTTCTGTCGACAGTCTGCGCAGCAATAAACCAAAGACCAAAGTCCTGCCGAGCAGCAGGCTGTGGCTTTTCCCCTCCGTCCCAGTCACGTATGATTTATTGAAGCGTTCTCTGGGAAAGTCAAACCCGAGATTAAGATTTCAACATCAGCAGTAGAATTTACGTGACGGCTGGACGGAGCAGAGGGGAGAGATTTATGGTGGAGAGGTGAGAGGAAGGCTGAGAGTGGGGCTGTGACAGTATGTGATTAAGGTTGGAATTAGTGTGTAAATGTGACGTCGGTCAGCTGACTGCACTGCTCCACGAGTGCTCTGACCTCTGAGGTTTAAACCAAATCTACGGAGGCCCAAACGTGCCAAAAATGAAATCAGTAAGTGATTCTAATTCCCCCAACTGTTTACTTCAATTTTAAACCAGTTTTCCTTTTATGTGCTTTTTCTGTTTACTTCCAAAAACTGTCTGCAACATGACTGAAATGCTAAATCCAGAGTTGGATAATGATTCAGACAATTATCAGACCAGTTAGTTGAAAATGACCACAAGTTGAGCCAGTTTTATCATTTTAATATAAAGTACTGGTTCTGGGTAAACCTACAGCAGGTGAAACAAACAGCAGGAACTGGTTTAAACTCCCTAAACTCAGCGATGTCCATCAGCGGCACTGCTAATAAACATCTTTAAATCCTTCTGAACTGAGAGGATGACTGGAAAATGCATACACACAGACACTTTTCTTCACAGTCCCATGACAAATCATAACAGTTCGATAATGCAGAGCTCGTGCTGGCGAAAACAAACCATCAACAGCCTCTGGAAGTTTCTCCTAATCCTCTCATCTAAAGAATACTGAGATGCTTCGTTTGACACTCATGCTGTGCTCACACTTTAAGCTTCAGTGAGATGATCCTTCATCCACGGCCAGCAGACTCTGCAATCAGCTGGGATGCCCCTTTGTGCGTCACATGAGAGTGAGCGTAGACATGAGCCTTGCAAGTGTGATGCCGAGGTTCATTCACATGACCATGTGACTGCGACGCTGTCCACGGAAAACCTGGAGGGCTTGCTGATCCTCGTCCTCAACAAGGATCCTCCAAACAGCCGAGGCCACGAAGCAAACACAAAGACTGCATTTTTACTCTGCGGTGAACGGAGTTTGTGGCGAACCCACATCCTTCCCCAGCCTACATCCCCCACAATGCCTTTCAGCAACTCCACACATCCTCATTAAGCAGAGTTTAAGTAAGAGTCAGAGTAACATCTACAGTATAAAGTTCACAGAGGGAGAAAAAGAAAAGTATTAACTACTGCCTGCAAAGAGAGCCTAACGGGCTCAGCTGTGAGTGAAATGTTAGTACTGAGGTGGTCACTGTGTTCACTGCCTCCAGGTGAATAAAGTTCTGCTGGTCTGACGCCTCTCTCCATCTCTGCACTTTGCTATAAGTTGAGCACTAAGCATCAAACCCCAAGTGGGTGTGTGACATGATCTTTGCGTATCAGGTGATTCTTCCGCACGTATTTAAGGTTTTGTGAGCGAGCTAGTGAAATGTTATGTGTAGTTTTAACAATTGTACACACAGAAAGGTTTTTGACAGCAAAAAGCTTATCTGGTTTGTGAAGCTGAAATTAATAAATTGTGCGTAAATGATCAGTAATTATTCAGGTTTGGATGAACACATTTGTGAAATTGTTTTAGTTGAGGGCAGATTGCTCTGCATTTCTGTGGGGATTGAGCGCGAGTGCGTGCGTAAGTCCTCGAAAGTTACACAAATCGTTGCACACATTTATAAAACTTACGCCTATGCTTGTGGCTCACATTGTACAATATTGCAACACTTCGCTCTATGTAATTTCACTCTATATTTCGCAGTCGTGTTCATCTTTGGAGCAACATACTTAAGCAAGCAGGTTTTCTCAGCATAAACTGCATGAAGTCCAAACAGCACCGTGTCCTCACTGATGACACTCTGCAGTCCTGTGTGAATATTAAAGTGACTTCTTACAGCCCTGATATGGAGAAGCTCTGCAGTGATGTTCAGAAACAGAAATCACACTAAACAGTGAGAAAGGTATCATCTAATATGCTTTTATTTTGAAATAAATATCTATATATTGTGGACCCTGAGCTGGACAGTTGATTGCTGCCTGCGTCTTAATGAAAGGACACAAGATCACAGCACAGTGAAATGAAGGCATAATTCCATACAAATAGTTTTCATGATTATTATTTATATTTGTAAGTTATTCAGCCACTGCTACGTGTTATTTATATGAAACTGGCCTATTTTTAATTGATTAATTTTCCACAAGGTGTGAACTCAAATAAATCTCCCAAATGTTTTATTTAAAAACACATCTGCACATGGAAGTGTTGTTGTTTTTTTCCTCTTGAAAGCATTTTTTAAATAGTTCCTTAAAAAAAAGAGAAAGAAAAAGGTCCTAATATTCTAATTATCCCCCCCCCCCCAAACTTCAATTTGCAGTGGGGAAAGCTCAAAGTGACTCAAAGATGAAGGAAAGAGTGTCCACTCAGCAGCGTGGAGATAAAGGAGGTAAAGGTTTCTGCCTTTGCCTCACAGGGTCTCACCTTTGCTGCTTTTTCGCACTTGCCGGTCAGAGCACAACTACACACCAGGAAAACTCTCACCCATCCACCTCGATGTTCAATAAATCTATAATGTTCAAAGGTAAATTAATAAATAAAGTGTGGTGAATCCTTATCAACGGTCTAATCCTGACTCAAAGAGCTGGGACAGGTATCAGCAGACGGCGGCCAGAGGACTGCTTGTAAAACAGTAGCAGCCACACGGAAACCTGCAGGGTTTTCCTGCTGTTTCCTTTGAGCTTCTGCTCCTCGGTGAGATGTTGCTGGAAGCTGAGCAGCGCATTTACACCTGACAGCAGAGTAGACAGAAATCATTCCACAGGTGAGCGAAGCAGTCCCACATGCCCAGACACATCTGCACTGCAGGAGTCAGTTACACGCTGACGGTGAAAGAAAAGCAGCGAAGTTTCAGTTTCATTTGACTCTCAAATCATCATCGTATGCAACAAGAAATGAGGGAAAGAAATTGCGGTCTTCTGCTTCTGTTGGTTTGAAGTCCTTTAGAGGCAGAAACATTTTATCCCAGGTTTCCAAAAGCCTCAGATTCTAAATACACAGAAACTAATTAATTCTTGTGGAAAGTCAAATCACAAGGATTTAGTGTTCAGAGTTTGCATATTGACAACATTTCATCTCATGAATCATGACACACCGTTCTCCCATATATAACCTGCTTTTACATATTGGTATTGTATCAGCAAAACTGGGTCTGTATTTACTTGATATCAGATCAATACTGAAATTTGCAGTTTCACACAGCTGTATTGAGAATCCGAGACATCACGTGATCATACTGTATCATTGACTAAACTGGTCAACTGGTCAATCACAAGGTCACCCGTACCCTAAATCAGTCCCATCTTATTGGTCCTTTTGGACTCTAATGTGGCCTTTATTTACTAAACGAATATCAAGTTGAATTCAGTAGAACGTTAATCTACAGACTGACATTATATAGTCATCAGAAACGTGTTTGCAGAGCTCAAAGAGGACGCTAGAGGAAGGACTGTTTTCTGATAGACTTCTACATAATCACCAGGAGGCTCCACCTGCTGGTCACTAGAAAGAATGCAGGTGAGAGGCACTTCAGCTTCAAGTCAAGTAAGCTTCCTCCTCCCCCCCCCCCCAATCCTTCACCTGTACAAGCTTTCGTTTTTATAATCAAACAGATTGTGCAGGTCACCTTCACTTGTTTCACCCGTGTCTCTTCATCTCCTCACCTCTCTTCCCTCATGCTTCCTGTCTTTGCTACACCACTAAAAGCTTTAAAATGCTCTGTTGGGGGTTCCTGTGGGGCCACAGCTACTCTCTTTTGCCCCTGGCCCCCCTTGGAGATTAAAGCACCCGTGGTGAAAACAGTGAGTGAAGTCAGGTGTATCAGATGTATTTCTGGCTGTTTATGACCGTAAATCTCCCGGAAAAACACCTGACTTTCCCCTCCGTCATCGGATCCGGTTACAGCCACAACACCGCCGATATTTCGCAATAACTCCGCTCCCCCGGCAGGCCCGGGTCAGGAAACACAAGACTCCCCTCCACCTGCCACCTGCAACGCGATGACAAGCACGAGCCCGGCTCCTCCGCCCCTCTTACCTGTAGAGTTGTGATGTGTTTGTCGTTGAATTTGTTCTCGCAGTATCTGAGCACCAGCGACGTCTTCCCCACGCAGCCCTCCCCGAGCAGCACCACCTTGAACGAATAGGTCTTGCCGCTGTTCGCCGCCGCCATGGCTGGCAGTTAAAACTCGCACAAATCCTCCGCTTTTATCCGCAAAACGGGCGTTTTAAGGCTAGCGCTGCTAATGCTAACCCAGTCGGAAATGAAGTCCTGCGCAGCTCACATCAGCTTCCGACTTCAAAAAAGGAGCTAAAATCATGAGAGGGACAGCTCGACAGCACACACGGACCCGACTTCTACCGGAATCTACTCGCAGCTCGGAGGGAAGCGAGTCCAAACCCAGAGACAGATCGCGTTTCACCCTGTGGCCAAAGCCTGATTTTCACCCAACTAATGGCGTCTCTCTCAGCTAACAGTTAGCCGGCTAGCTCAACCAAAGATCGTGTCTGCTCGGAGGAGGACTCACTGAGCACCTTTGTTTTCGTCCTGTTGTCTGTAAAGACACAACGCAGGAAGAGCGATGGAAATACTACATTTAAGGAATCAAAAGAAAGATAGATACCAAAGTTTGAGGAAAATAGAACGTTCAACTTAAATGTCTTAAAATAGAAGACATTGAAACTTTGAAAATAGAAAAGCTTTAATCGAAAAAGTTAAAATTACAAATAACGATGACAAATGGATAAAAAAAAACGTAAATGGAAAAATAAAAACAGTAGAATTAAAACTTCAGAGAATTTAACATGAGAGAAGCAGGTGGAAACTCATTTTAAAATGTCGCAGCAGGCTGCTGCCCCTTCCTAAGCCTGGTTGTTTTGGAGGTTTATTCCTGTTAAAAGGGAGTTTTTCTTTCCTGCTGTCGCCACTTCTCTGTGTTATTGTAAGCTCTTGATCTCATAGCATAACGCACCTAAAACAAAAAGTAGAAAGTCTAAATATCAGAGGAAAAATAAAAGTAAAATTGATATGAACATGAAAACGTGAAATGTCATGACAGAAATAAAGTCAAATATGACTGTGTTGTGTCAAAATAACCACAGAAAGAACTCAAAATTAAAAAAAAAACAAAAAACAAAGGCTTGGATGGTATACAGGAAAATGATCCTAAAGGAGCAGCTGAAAGAAGAAGAATCATCTCTAGGAGTCTAAACGGTCTGATAATCCTCAAACATTCAGGGGGAAAAAATTAATAAAAAATAAAAAATAATTAAAGACGCCAAAATAATTACATAAGATATCAAAACAGTAAGAGTAACTTTGATATTTTATTCAATACGTGTGTGTGTTTTGTGGGGATGGCAAATGCTATCATTTTTCTGTAAACTAAATTTACCTACGCGTACAAATAAAGTAGCCTTGAACCTTTAATGTTAAAAAAATACAGAAAAGGAAGAAGACGATGTAAAAATTACATAAAATATACATTTTTGATTTGTGAATAATTTTAACATTTTACTTCTTTATTTCATATGTTTTATTTCTGAACCTTTCTTGCCGTATTTGTCTCTGGATTTGTGAACTTCCTTCTTTGCTGGTCGATCGGCACTGCCTGGGCCTCTGAAGCAGCAGCAGAGTGAGAGCTCCTCGCTGCAGAGTCACATGATGAGCTCCGTCAGCGCTGTTGGCTCATCACAGACTGTAAAGCATATTTATGTTTAATATTTATATCCAGTCTGTGGTTCAACAGTCAACTCCTGAGCTAAAAGGGAAAAAAGAGAGCTTTTTACAGAACAAGTCAAAAACATGAGACAAAAACTACAGAATTGTATTCAGTGTCTTAAAATTATGAGAATAATAAGTGTTTTAATGTTTTGCCTTTTTTAAATAAAAAATGAGATAAATTATTTAAAAAGTGATAATTTCACATAAAAAGCAATATAAATAGCTGAAATTTTTGCAAAGTAATTGTCAGTTTCTACTGCTCCAATCAAAGCTATAAAATAGTCTTTAAATATGACATGAAAACCATTATTGACGACTTGAAAATAAAAATGGTTAAAAAATGTAAAACAAAATTTGTGTGATTTGGTTAGTAATGAACTCAAACTAATTTTTAGATGGAAAAAGTCAACAGTTGTACTTAGTACAAATTATGAGATAAAAATGAAAATGTTGATCTGCTAAGTGAAATTATAAGAAAAATATTAAGCATTTTTGTCTTGGAAAAAACTCGTGTTGAATAAAATCGACGAGAAAGTTCAAAGATCAAAGTCAGATAATAAGGTTACATGTTTATCTGTATATGAAATTTAAAAAATCAAACATCTAATAACTCCAACATCCAGCATGCTTTGCTTCTTTTATTTTTCATATAAACCTCAGATGATGAAATATAAAGAGCTGTCATGTGGAGTTTTACAGCCCTGACACGAGCCTGGTTTTCCTGTTGGACGCCTTCAAGGACGCATGGAAACAAAAAACAACTTGTTTTTCCGTCTCTGACTGCAGTGAAGCTGCTTAGCCACTAGAGGGCAGAGTCCCATTGAAAACAGGAACAGATTCATGTTTAGGAGGGTGGAAGAAAAGAACAAAAGCTGCAAAACAACCTCAAGTACAAAGAAGCTTAAAAAGACCAGAGACAGGCCCAGAGTGACCACAGAGAGGAAACAAAGCATCAAACACAACAAACAAAAGAGGGATACATGCAAAATGACACAGAAAAAAACAAATGACCAAAAAAAGGTTTCAATAAAATATGGAAATAAAACAAAAAAACCAAAAACTGAAACATCACACAAACAGAACAGACAAAACAAAAATATCAACAAAAACCTGAAAAACAAACACAAAAGAAGCACAAATGACAAAAAAGAGATGCAGAATGTTCAGAAATATACTGAAAATGACAGCAAAGACACAAAGCGATGCTAAAGAGAAACAAAAAGCTGCAAAAAATATGCAAAGCAATTACAAAAAAGAACTTGAAAGAAAAATGAATGCAGCCAAACCACAAGGAAACAGACAGAAAAGAGATACAACGTAGACACAAGGTGCAAAATTATCGAACATGCCATCACAGAAATAAAATAAACAACATAGAAACTGAAAGATTAACATAAGTTTGTATGTCTTTTGTTTATTTTAAACTAGGTGATTTATCACTGTGGTCCAGACAAAGTGAAGCAACCTGGTCACAAAATAAATAGTTTCCTTCATAAATATTTCATTTTTTTCTTGTAAATTTACATTTCTGAATTTTTCCCATGAGTTCTGTTTTTTTTGTCATTTAACTAATCAGAAAGACAGAAATCTTTCCTGCTTTCACACAGGTTTCTTCATACTGTTGCATCATGTTGTGTGTGTGTGTGTGTGTGTGTGTGTGTGTGTGTGTGTGTGTGTGTGTGTGTGTGTGTGTGTGGTGACAACTATTATATGTCAGCTTTACCTCACCCCCACCCCTTTGTGTCTTATTTCCTTGAAACTTGCAGCAGGATCTCAGAACTGCTAACCATTAACATCAAATTAGTGTACAGGTTTACCTGACTTTGTGAGGACTTAAGTTGTTTTCAGGCCTTGTGGGGAGATGTGAGAGATCAGACTTTTCTGATTTCAGGGTTCATGGAAGGCTGAATTACCAGGAATCCCTAAAAGTCAGGCTAGCATTACTCTGCCTCGATATACTGAACAAGTATATCATCAGATTACTGACCAATTTGTTAGGTGCACCTTGCTAGTGCTGGATTTGATTGTTTTTTGCCTTCAGAGCTGCTTTAATTCTTCATGTTGGAAACATTTCTCAGAGATTTTGGTTCTTGTAAATGTGACAGCATCACACAGTTGCTGCAGATTTGTCAGCTCCACATCCATGAGTGAATCTCCCGTTCCAACTCCAATCTCAAAAGGTGCTCTGTTTGACTGAGATCTGCTGACTGTGGAGGATATTTGAGTACAGTGAACTCATTGTTCAAGAAACCAGTTATAGATGATTTGACCTTCGTGCTATGGTGCGTTATTCTGCTAGAAGCAGCATCATTAGATGGACTGTTTTGGTCTTCAGGGGATGGAAACTAAAAGCAGCCTGACCTTTGACAGAAGGTAGGATGGATGCTTTCTTGCTTGCCCCAAATTCTAATCCTACGTCCTGAATGTCGCAGAAGAACTGGAGACTTACTAGACCAGACAACATTTTTCCATCTTCTAGTCTCCAGTTTTAGTCAACCTGTGAAAACTGTAGTCTCAGTTTCATGTTCTTAGCTGACAGAAGCACCACCTGGTGTGGCCTTCTGCTGCTGTAGCCTGCTTCAGTGGGTCGTCTTGACCATGTCTTTATGCCTAAAAGCTTTGAGCTGCTGTGATGTGATGGTAAATCATATATTTCTGTTTACAAGCAGCTGAAAAGGTCTACCTAATAATGTAGATGGTTGAGTATATATAAGAAGAATATAAACAAGAAATAAATCACAACATTCAACCAATTTATTACATGTGAAATTTATGTTTTTACTCAAAAAGCTGGATTGTTGATGCATTGACCACAAAGAGACACAAATCAAAGCAAACACCCTCCAATAAATATAAAATAAAAGAAAGAGACTAAGAAGATGAAAAATACACAAATTAGACAAATGAAAAGCAAAACAACCTGAAAAGAATCTGACAGCAAATCAGAAAGGAAATCAGTCTGTTATGGCTGAGTTTAATTACTTTAATTACAATGCTGTGACCTCACTGAGCCTCTCCATGCAGAAAAAAGTTTTTTTTCTAGCCCCTCGTGTTCTGGGTGAAGTGCCCCAAAAACCTCCAAATACAAAATACCTGAAACCCTCATTATGGTGTATTCCAGTATTCAAACATAATCTTTTCTAATCACAGCCGAACAGTTTTATTTATTAAAAAAAATATCCTGTCCTGATGTGGGATTCAATAATTCACCAAAAGCTCCAAAACTACTATTTTCCATCCTTTAAAAGTCAAAAATCTTCCATTGGTGTATATGAATCAGTTGACAATCAGTTCATGAAATTTAACCGTGGCTCTTTATTATGAAGGGCCCAGAGATAATATATTCAAGTTTAAAGACCAACAGGTATGAAATCACTGGCTAAAAGCTAATGGATACTCCAGAAAATAGTGTCACCATTCCCGGAAGATCCTTCAGACCTCTGTGCACAAATAGCAGGATGATATATATATTATATTCAATGACTTAGACTAAATGAGCTCAGTATAAGGTGAATGCATACTAAACATACTAAACATTCCATTAAATGTTTACATTGTATTTATAGAATGAAATTAAATGGAAACTTTTACATGTGATTGAATTAGTTAAAGTCAAGCCATTTTTTAATGTTAAGTCTCTGTCTTTCCCAGAGGAGCATCAGTAGGAAATACAGATTCTCAGATGTGACTTTATTCACTTTTTTGTTTTTTCTTGTTGACTACAATTTCTTTTTTATAATAATGTTATCTGAAATCTTTAATATGTGATTAATCTTTAATCCTAAAACCGGACATGTCGTTATACTTTATTCACCTTATATCAAATTTGCACAACATTTGAATTCAGTTTTTATGTTTAATCTATTTAATCTTTACTCTCAGATCATTAAAA